GATACACAGCAAGATATAGCTAGGGCCCTTGTTTTACTTGATATGGGAAATCCCAGTGCGAATCTGAGATGCCTTCTGGGCTCTGTGTTACACAAGCCTCTTTAAGAGATGCACAGTACCTTAAATTCCCACCATTCAGTACAATTTCTTATATTCACAAACTGTTGAATATGTTCATGCAGACTTTCCGATTCGTTGGGTTACTCAAGCATGCTACATCTGGAAAAGTTTTTGTGCTGAGGCATGATTTTCTTGATAAAATTTAAAGGCTTTTTAAATGGACAAATACATTATCCAGTTCAAGAAAACTGTATGATAGGATGCAAGAACCTGTTTTCTTTTTTTCCTTTTCTTGTTGTTTTAGCACTTCCGTACCTCTATCTGCTTGCCATACACATGCAAAAAATTTGCAACAAAGACCGTAAAAGCACACGAAACATTCCCTTAGTCTGCAATTTTAAGCTCTTTTTTTGACCCAAATTGGCATTTCTATGCCTTGAGCTGAAAGCAGTCATCTTGTTAAAAGGTGATATTTGTGTATGTTGCCTCCTTCAGACAAATTAGGCCTGAATTTTAAGACGCCTACTTATTGATTCATTCTTCAAACGGCAGAATTGTGAGTTGTGCATCCTGGTGCTTTAGAAGTACGTTTGTAGCTGTCTGTACATGTCACGCAATGTTCAAAACAGGCAGCCAGTTAAGATTCCTTCTGAATATCATGGCTGAAAACTTCTGCTTGGGCTCTGCCTAAATTAACACTTATGAGGCACCTCAATAAACTCTGGTTCAGCAAGGCAACTCAGCTTAGGGACAGCACATGAGCACATGCGTAACTATAAGCTTCAGTCCTACTGAAATGAGCAGAAAAGCTAAGATTTCTCCTGATGTAGACTTTAAGACTGACTTGACTTCCTGGGAGACCTTGGATCACTGACAACTGCTCCTGATTTCACCAAGGACTGCAGGTGCTCACTGTCTACAAAGGACTTTTAGTAAGATGTCTGAGTTCTTACTTAAGTAAGAGTTCAGATTAAAGATACATATTTGAAAATTTGACCTCAGGTATTTAAAGCCCATCTGCCCTGCCCTCCCAAAAGGTCTGAAAACAAAAAAACTAAAAATAAAAAGAACCAGGAGCCGTTTCTGCTATTTATGCTGCAGAGACTAGCATGCTAGCAATGCCCCAGTCTGAGGCATACTACCACTGCAGATTTTTGTCTTTCATTAAGATAAAAGATACATATTTGAAAATTTGACCTCAGGTATTTAAAGCCCATCTGCCCTGCCCTCCCAAAAGGTCTGAAAATTAATGCACTAAAGTTAAAAATAACTAGGAGCCTTTTCTGCTATTTATGCTGCAGAGACTAGCATGCTAGCAATGCCCCAGTCTGAGGCATACTACCACTGCAGATTTTTGTCTTTCATTACAGTGCTTCAAGCTATTGTATTCCACCTAGCCTTAGAGGCCAGAGAGTTGGCAAGTGTTAGTACTGCATAGTCCAGTCCTTCTGATGTATGTAGGTCCTGACTTGAGGACCCACATGGTCACTTCCTATCTAATTTTCCTAGCTTTATGGAAAATACCACTGGAAGTAGGAAATGATCCATATGCAAAGTTTCCAAGAATGAAAATAGTAGGTAGGCAGCTGATTTTGAGGGTTGGTTTAGATGGTTTGCATTAAGTGTTAATCCTCTCAGCATGTTTTAGTGAAACAATTATTCCTGAAATCTTCCTAATGATTCTGTGGTAGTTCATCTGTGTATCTGCCAAGGATAATGCTGAGATTATTAACAATTAGGTACTGGACATTTTGTAATTTAAATACTGTAACAGGTTTATAATTAAAATGCAAACATAGGACTAAAATGAATATGTTATTGAATTGAATGTAAGCTTGGACAGGATAATGTTCCAAACACTTTAAATGCCTTGATGTAAGAGTAGCATTTAATTCCAAAAAACCCTTAATTTCTTTTTGTGCTTGCGCAGAACATAATGTAAGGTAAATACTTGTAAAAAGAGACAGAATTCATCATAGTGAAGAAACAAAGTAACAACCCACAGATCATTGTAGTCTCCAGGCATTTAAAACATCTGAAATTCTGCTGCTGCCTTCTCCCGGACTCTGTGTCCTCTACAGCCATTCTCATTAGCTATGTATCATCGTGTCCTCTTACCCTTCTTTCTGTCCCTCTCCCTGCATTCAGGCTCTACTCAACCTGATTATGCCTTCATTTAAGATATTATTCGAACTCAGTCCTTCACCTCTGTCTTCACTGCTAAAGTCATGGTTAACGCTGCAGACTAGAATCAACAGTCAGAAAAACACCTAATGTAATATAGAACATTATCGGAAGGCCGAGTGCCTCACATTATGCAATAACTGCACATGTAGTTACTGCAATTATACATACCAATCCGGCATGGTGCATGCAATTGACCTAGCACTAACAAGAGGATGATGAACGTGATGGTCTAAGAAACAGGATCACTGCACATTTAACACAGCCATGCATTCTCACGTGGCCTGCTCTGCATTTTAATATACTTTACAAACCGGCAAGAAGGAAAAAACAAGAGGGGAAGGAACAAACTAGCAAAAGCTGGTTTTTCTTAAAAAACAAACTGTAAAAGCAGACAGTAAACTTGCAGTAAAAGCTAACAACAACAATCATAAAGCAGCTTGCTGTGCTAATAACAACTGCCTCTTCTTAGTCAGTCACTCATGAAGTTTGTCCGTTTGTCACCTATACCAGTATGTGCTTTAGCAGGGCACGTTTTCTGGAGATGTCATCCAGAGAACTGACTGAAGAGAAAGCAGGGACTGCTACTTAAAAAGGGTGCCAATGGAGATAAACTCTGTTTTATACACACACATTAAGGAGCCTCAATCAAAAAAGCTATGTGGAGCTTTATATATGCAACAATGAGTTTGACCCGAAGCCACTAAATCCAAATCAGTTGAAAGAAAATATCCACCAAAATACCAAGCAAGCAGGCAAACAGAAGTGGGTGGCATTCTCCTTTCTTTCCTATTTTCTCTCCAGACCTAATCTAACACAAAGCTTCAAATGAATAGTGGGATCTGTCTACATGGAGTTGATTGCACAGGCAGGGCCATATTTGAGAAACACTTAATTAGGATGATACACTGTCCCTGTATGGGATTCCCAAATGCTGCTTTTTTCCTCTATTGTTATGGATTTCTTTGAAAGTGTGGAGACAGACCCCACAGGAGAGAAGACATAGCTGTCTTGGAGAAGAATGACAATTATTCTTTAACTTCTTCAGCAAAAAGCAGCACTGAACTGGATGGAAATGCAGGATTGCCCCAGGCATATCTTTTCCAATGCAGACAATGATTAATAGAAGAAAGAAAGATGATATGAACGACTAGTATTACTGCAATTCCTTTTAAGTCACAGTAAAGCTAGCTACAGGGTCTGGCAACACTTATTTGCTGCTGGCAACTTCATCCCTGCCTTCTTGGGATTGAGAAAGATCTGTAAGTGCATGCCTGATTCCCAAGTTATTCTTCACTGAACGGTTCAAGATGGTGAAAGGAAAAAATTACACATAAGCCCCTGGAGCATCCCGTTGTGCACTGCATTCCATTCTGCCCCAGTTAAATAACCCCGTCCACGGTATCGACCGCTTGCTTTAATTCCAGATGTAGGCACAATTATGGTAACATATCTCTCTAGGCTCTTCAGTAATCGATCCTCAGTCTGCATTAAGACACACATCTGATACAAGAAAAGCAATGCTGCATGAGAAAGTGCATTTGCTGGCTCTGTCTGCTTGATCTTACAAATGAGCTTGTTCTCCCTTAGCAGGAGCTGGGGAAAAACCTCTCTGAGAAGTCACTACTGTTCACCACTGACTCTACTCCAACATTCATTCTTTGCTGAACTCTGTAAAAAGGGACTGAGGTCACTACATCAGAGATGAGGAGACTGAGGGTTCCCCCTCAATTTCTGCACATGATTACCCACGTGACCGTGAGCATCACATGTGACCATGAGCATCATGCTTCACCTCTCGCTGCCTCTTATTCCCAGATCAGCACAACCTCCTGCCTCTACCAGAAGACTCATTTGATTGGCGTCTTGCTTCATACTGCCTTGCAGTTAAGGCCATATCTCACACATCACCAGCACATGTGCTACAGCTTCTCCTAGTCTCTGAAATCCCAGAAACCTGGTGCAGCTGGTCAGCCTGACATACAGCCCACCAACAGCTGCTCTGGCCCACAGGAAGCAAGAGGAATCCTATGACTGAACTTGGCTTGGAAACGAGTGGGCAAGAGTCTTCTTGCAAGAGTCTTCTGCTAACAGGAACCCCACCAGGACACACATTCACCTCTCAGGGCCTAGTAATGTGACCAGCCGCCTCTGTGCCCTGTCACATCACGGGACACAAAGTAGCTCTTCCACTGTGGAGAAGTAAATACTTGACAAATGTTTGTAGAGTGCCCAACAGGATTCAATTCCCATCCTGAAGGATATTGCTCTATGCTACAGCAATATTCAATGACAACAAAGGCAGATCTGCCTTCTTCCATCTCTGTTGACCCAGGATGTTCAAGGACGAAAATTAAAGAACCACCGGTTTGTTCTTATGATGGAAACAGGTGACAAATATTGGCCTTTCAGCATAGGCTGTCCTTTATATCTCACAAATTTCCAGAAACACATCACTTGTTCAAAGATGAATAAATCATACTGTCACTAGCTAATGACCTACCTGAGCTTCTGTGGACAACGCACCCAATGATAACAGAAAACCTCTGGCCAGTATAATGAATTACCCACAGTACAAAACATAGGGTAAGCGTGCCACTGATACCAGAACGTAGGATCTTGTCAGCACTTCGTTATTTCTGAGGCTGAAGTTCCTTTTGCTTTGTCTGCCTCCAATTTATTTCATCTTTGAACCTTTGCATTCAGTGTCCACAGATCATCACACATTATAGTAGCAATCATTAAAATTATATTACCTTACTCCATCTTTCACAGATGAAATTCTGCATGTGCATCCAGTTCTTTTTTAATAGTCTGAAAGACACAAAAAGGACAAACTGTTTCTGACTGAATGGATCCAAATAAACAGGCTAGTAGAATAGGAAAAAAAGTTTTTGGGGAAAGCAATAAATATAGGAACAATTAAAAAAAAAAATCACTAAAACCTTGTAAAAAATGCAGAATGTTAACATTTTATAGCATAGCTCCTTTACCATTTGAAACAGAATCTGGACTGTTGATCAGTTCTGAGGAAAGAGAACATAAGAATAAAGCCGAAAGAGAAATTTCAGAATCAGGTACTGTTACTGTAACATTTTACACTTAGAGACTGTGATGTGTATCTCCCTTCTACTATATTAATGAAAATACAATGCATTTAACTAAAATGACTTTGCTATTAAGTCTGTAAAAGACTCAATGCAGTTACAGTATAAGAAGCTCAATAAAGTAGCTACTTCATGCCACTAGCAACAATCGAGCTCTCCCAGCATAGCTTCTCAACTCGGCTACCTTGTCCTGCCTGCTCATCCCAGCTGCAGTCAGTGGGGTCACCACATGGCACTGCAACTACTTCCCCAAGAGGATGCTCTGCGAAACAGAAATGCTAACAACTGAACCCAGCCCCCCAAGCAATTTTTACTTCCTGCAGGTCCAGACTGAATTCAGATGCCACTGGCAGAGAGATTAAAGAGTTTCATTTCTTGCTGCCAACACCTACAGCTCTTCCATTGTGACAGGGAACATACTGTCCTTGGCCATACCAACATCACTCACCACACCTAAGCAACAGGCATCTTAACGGGTTTTTTTCCCTTCAAGAAGTATAATCAAGGCATTTCCTAGCATGTTTTATCCCATAAATCAATCAGTCCAGAATCCTTATCCAAGTTCATTGTCAAACAGATACACAATCCACGTGGCACCTCAGATATATCCTTTTTTCTTCTTCTTTTTTTCTAATGACATGAAAATCCTGTCAGAATGAAAGAGAATTTATGTGAATCCATACAGGCTAGCTGCATGATTGCCCTTTTGCAGCATCACAGCATCTTGCAGGCTGAGACACTACAGAAGAGCAGAAGCCAAACCCATCAAAGCAACACTAGTGTGTTCAGCACACTCTGCTGAATGATTACTCCACTGCACATCTCTTTCCAAGAGGGAACCTGTTCCTCAGCAAGGGGTAGTGGAATCTGACTTTACAGAATAATTCAGGCTGGAAAGGATAGTCCAGCTTTCTGCTCCAAGCAGGGTCACCTCTCAGCTCAGACAAGGTTGCTCAGGGCTTTATCCAGTTGGGTCTTAAAAACCTCCAAGGATGGAAACTGTTCAACCTCTCTTGGCAAACTGTTCCACTGCTGGACTACATGTTGTTACAGGTACCACTGGAACCAGTAGTGCAGTTATTTCACATTTCCGAAAGCGTTACAGAAGGAAGACAACAATTTATAAGCAATTGCTTACTGCACAACTGATGCACCACACAAATCGATCTTTCAGTTTCACCTGTCTATTTATACTCAGGATTGTAGAACAAAGACATTAACTGTGTAGCTGGGAGTTAGCAAATAACTCTATGGATTAATTTTTTTATCTTAAGGCCAAAACAAAAGCTCTTCAACTAGTACGCTCTCCAGTACAAGAACAAGTATGACTTTTTAACCTGAAATATCTGCCATTTTGCTACAACTAGATTAGTTATCTGTAGGTTAGAAATCTCTGACCGTGGTACCACAAAACTGTGTGTCCTGGTTTCAGCTGGGACAGAGTTAATTTTCTTCCTAGTAGCTGGTACAGTGCTGTGTTTTGGATTTAGGGTGAGAACAATGTTGATAACACACTGATGTTTCAGTTGTTGCTAAGTAGTGCTTACACTAGTCAAGGACTTTTCAGCTTCCCATGC